AATTTGGAAGTCAACAGTTATATAAATTCAAGAAGTTGTATGCTAACGTTTTAAACACTAATGGAGATAATACGGCTAACAAATAAATAATAATGTTAAACCAAATTAATACAAATGTAAAATTGAAAAAATTTTCTTTATTTTAAAATATTTAAAAAAACATCGAGGGTTTGGGAAAATTATTATCAACATATAGGTAATAAATATATTAATATTATTATATTGTAAAGTTTTATAAGTGGAACGCATACAATCAAGGCCCTTATTTTAATTTCTATTGGAATTTTATTTATATTTGGAATTTCAGCACAAATACAAGGAATTTCAATTATAATTAGAGACAGTAACCATTTTTGTATTATCGTAACCTCTATTAACCAGATTTTAAATTGTAAAACTTTTCTAAATTTACAAATTTGTACGTCTTGGCAAATATTGTCATATTACGACCAAATTTGCGAAACAAGTACATAATGAGTTTTGTAAAAACTATTCCAATCTAGTGTATTCCAAGTAAAATTTCCAAGTATAAACCATTAAATATTCATTAAACAGGTTTCATATTATGTGTTGTCCCATCTATAACTATTCAAATTTTGCCCTATATATTTTTCCAAAAAATTTTCACCATTTCCTAAATCACCACAAATTATCATTTAACTTCCATTCTAATAATTCTGTACCAAATTTAATGCCTGAATTTTTTGATGTACAAACGTCACTCAAAGAAATTTTTCTTTAAGATTTTTCTTTCCCGGTTTTATATAAAATTTTTGTTTAATATTTTCACGTACAGAGCATTTAAAACCCATCATATTTCATAACGGTGAACATAGAAAACAGAAAGAACGAGAAAAAGAATAAATTTTATAAGAACGGAAAAGATATTTATCATAAATGAATTCTAAGATTTCGAAAGATGAAGAACAGTCAAAATCCTTAAAACCAATCATAAAACATAATACAAGACACAAAACAATAAGAATTATAAAAATAATACAGAAAAAAAAAGAAAACCAAAAACGCAAATAAATCGATTTGCGAAACATCATCCTTCACACAGGATAAATTGACATTTTGTGTTTGAAATTCTTTGTTTTTTCGTTTTTGTTTTCTTTATTGTCCTATTTTAACGTTATTTTTTTCCTCTAACTTGATTCTGTTGTTATTTAGTAAGTTTATTTTTTTTTTGGATACACATACATCTAATATTTTTTTTATGAAAATTAAATTCCCCCCTTACCTGGATTTTTTTGTGTTTTTCTTATTTTGCGTGTCTGTTTTTATTATCATTGTATTTAGAAATCGAAATTTTTATTATATATTTTATCAATAGATACAATTTTATTTTTATTATAGGATTACCAACCCATATGCATTTTGATACGTTATGATTTTGTTAGATCCTATTCAATAACAAGTTTTTTTAAATAAGTTGAAATCCGAATTGATAATCAGAATATTATTCCGGGTCTACTTTATCATGCTATCAAAAAAAGTAAAATTTTTCAGTTTTTTTCCAAAAACTATTTGGGATTCTTGTGCCCACAGATTGTAGATTGTAAATTACGGAATGGGACAATGATGCACCACGACCTAGAAGATATTTAGATTTAATTATAAAATTTACAAAAAAATCTTCACTGCAGCATTACTCGTAACAAAATTTTTCCAGATGTTGACGAAATATCAGATTTATTGTGCAATAAAAATTAATCAGCTTTCTATTCATGTTTTCTTCTTGTTCATCAGAACATTGCGTAGCAATATAAAACTTTTTTAATTCTCTCCATTGGTATAATTTTTAAATTTAAAATGGAAAAAATTCAAAACATTAATTTCTTACACAAGTGTCCAGTAAAATATTACTTGTGCAAAATTTACAAATCAGACTCCCTTTTGTACAGATTTTATCAGGATGACGCCGAGACGGCCATACATATTCTATCTAGCTGTTCTGCTCTAGATGTCAAATGGTGCAGATTGTTTCGGCGGAGATATCTCAATGTAGAGAGGAGTTCATGTCCTCTAGGTATTTACTTAATCGGGAAAATTAAGTGAGATATGATAGGGTTACAATAAACCACAGTTGACAGCAATTTTTGGAGGGGAGGAATTCCTTTGCCTATTTCTTTCTTCAACAATCTATAATCTATACATGTATGTACTTCCAAGATCAATATAAAAACAATTACAATTGGTAAACTTAAATCTCTTATTACTTAACCGTATATCTTCCCATTTCTTGTATAATATTATTGTTTATATGTTTATACATGGAAGCATAAATATTTTTACAAGTCTCAGTCTATATTTTTCTTATCCAAAGAATTTTCTTTATACTTTACCTTTCTGCTCATACTTCTTACTCTTCTTAAAAAACTTCTTATCTTTACTTTTCGTTATCGAAAGCATAAAAAATTCAAGATTTTTTTCCTTACTTTTTTCCACGAATAAATCTAAAAAAAAAAATATAAAATTCTGTTTCCTTGTGTCTTTTACTCAATTCTTCTTCTTTTTCCAATAAACCATCATTTCGATTTATTTTTTTCCGAAAATATTTTAGGAGTAAAGAAAATTCGTCGATTTTTTCTTATCTTGATTTCATTTTTTTTATGTATAGGCCTAAGAATTAAAATTCTAGATCAATGCATGATGAATTCAAGGTGGCATATAATATGAAAAATGTGAGTTAGAGTATAGTGAAGGAAGTAGAGGCAGATGAAGCCAAGGTAAGTAAAATTTTAACGGGATGGGATGAATTTTTCTACAAAAAAAAAAGAAAGATTATAAAAAAAATTTTTTTTATGTCTTATGTAGGTACATGAATATTAAGATTTCTGCGATGAAAATTAGAGTTGGATGGAGGTTTCAATAATAATATTTTCGCTATTTTTATAACATTACAAAGATTTACTTAGACGTCATTTTAACTTTAACAACTCATCTGCATTTTTGTTGCCATCCCAAGATCATTTCTATAAGATTTTTATTTTTACGTTTAGAAATCATTGTACCGTTAAATTTTTCTTGTCTTATTCCTTCATTTCCATTTAACGTTTTCTACAAAATATATATACAAAAATAATGTTAAGGTATATAAAGAAGGACGACATTTCAATAGGAATTTTATAAACAAGGGTAAAAAAGTTGTAAAATTATGGAAAAAAATTGGATTTAAATTAAGAGAAAATTGGAATTAAAAAAAAACACAAAATCTTTAATGGGAAATTTTTCCTTTTCTTACTCGTATATTTTTTATCGTAAAAAATGTTTAATAAATTTTGTGGTAATGATTTAATTTATGGAAATTTATTTGCAGAATTTCCATTAATAATTAAATATTTTAAACTGCAGTTCATGAAATTTAATTTTTACTGAGAGTATAATTGTGATTTTCAATTCAGAAATACTTAAATTTAATAATATGAGTATGTTCGGCTTAATTGTGCGTAAAACCTGTTGACAATAAATTTGTCATATATTTCCTGCATCATAATATTTTGGACAAGGTAACCAAAAAAACTGTAATTATGTTTAACCCTAATTATAATGAGTTTTGTCCTATAACAATGCTGACTTGATTTCAAAATAAATCTGGAAAATTTAATAAAATTCGGAAAAATGAGCGCAATACGTTTGAAAAATGAGAGCATTTGACAGTAATGCCTTTTCGTAACCTCATCAACTAATCAAAATACTTTGATTTATTCCAAATTTATTTGAAATATTCAGCTCAGAAATAAAATTTCCTTTTAAAAGTAAAAAAATATATTTGTTATACAATAAAATTTTAAGAGTATCAAAACTATTATATCAAAACTGTGTATACCCTGTGTGCTAGCTAAGAAATTCGTGTCGTCTATTTCTCACAATGTTTTCTTTTCAAATTTGTATTAAATAATTTTTATAAGCCACACTTCATAATAAGCGCTTATAAAATCAAAGCTGAAGTAATTTATTTTTGAGCTCAAGAGAGTAAAAAGAGAGTTAATTTTGAAAACAAGCTAACATATTTGAGCTTAAAAAACGCAACACTGTAAAAGTAAGAGTTTAATAAGAGATTTAAATACAAATCACATATTAAAGCAACAACAATTTCAGCAATGAATTAAACTATCCTGCGAATTTAAAACTAGAACTAATACGTGTTCCTGTACAATAAAAGAAGAGAATTGTATTGGCAAATGACTTAAGAACAGTTTAATTTTCATAAACCGCAAAATTCATGTCATAACAAAGTGAAAAAGAACATACTCGTAAAAATAAAAATTGAAATGAAAACTTTTTCATATTTTTAAACTTTTTCTAAAACTTAAAAAATATTTAATTTTAAAATTCACAATAAAAGTTTGAGAAATTCAAACTTTAAAGGTTAAAATCAATTAAAAAAGTTTTTGTTTTTGTTAATTATTATTATTAAAATATTTTCTTATTATCCTTTTTCTTTAAAAGGAAATTTTTATAATAACCACAATTCTATTTTAAAAATAACAACCACAAAACACTCAGATGAATTTTTTTCATCTTCATTTTTAAATTTTAAGGCAAGTGGAGTACAAATTTTTCCGGTTTATTTTGCAATCTAAAATTCTGTTTATTCATTCCACAATACACTCATATCCTTTCTATAACTTGAAAATTAAATAAAATATAAAATAATTTTTTCAAAAAATTTCAAAATTAACTCCTAGGAATATTTTTACTCTTCCATAATATCAAAAATAATTTTCTAGTCACACAGAAAAACTGTTCAGTCATTTTGAATTTCTACGTACCTTAATAACAATATGTTTTTTTCTTTTTATTTTTTAAAGATTTAATCTTCCACATTAATTTAATTGGCAATATTAAATAAAGAAACTTTTCAAAAAAAAAAAAAATAATTCCAATTTCTTACTTCTCCCTTGGTGTTTCTCTTATTATTGTCATTTTGGAATAATTTTAGTGTAGAAAATGAGGGAAAAAACTAAAAAATATAAAAAAGTTTTTCAAACAATTTAATTAACTCCAAACTCAACGGAATCATCATCATCTCCATCATCATCCACAGAATCATCACTATCACACAATCATCTTTAACATATTTGAAAAAAAAAATAAATAGTTAAAAGTGGAAAAATATTCATAGTTCTAAAACTAGAAGGTTTTCTTGTATCTTTCAAATGTTGTTATTTTTTTTTAGTTTTTATACTTTTTTAAGGTTTAATGATAAGTACAAATTTCCAATTTATTAAAAAAAAAATAGGATACTAATGTGGTCAGTACGTAATTGATCACAAGTTTAATATCTAGTTAAGTGAAAGTGCCGCACAAAAATTATGACAATAATGTTTAAACATTTCTATCACAAATTTCAAGCATTCCTTCAAAACTTCTTAATTAAATTCTCAGCTAGACATCCTAATTTGCTTAAAAATTCGTCAGTTAGTTTCGGAAACAAACAGAAATTAGAAGTTTCTAAGATATGAGATAAAAATTTTAAATTAACCCCTAGAAAAGGTCCAGTTCTCGAGATTTTATATATTTCAAAAGTTCATCAATTTGTGACGTAACCAAATAAATTTGGACATATATTTTCCTCCAAATCGCTTCAGTCAAAAATATTTCGCTAAAAATATGTTTTTTTTACTGCTCCTTACGCTATGGAAAATTGAATTTCCGGCGAAAAGTCGAAATTCGATTTCATTACCTAATTACGCTTATTGTATTCAATCCAATTAATAAAAATTTGGATGAGAGCTCAAAAATTCTTCCTTTTCCAATGAAATTTTATGGACGAGAATTTTTTGTATTTGACATGTTCTTTATATCAATGAAAATAATAAAATTCGTACCTCTCAATGTTCAGTGTTAAATTCAAATAATAATTTTACTGTCCAAATTTGACTTAGTGGCTAACCAATAATTAAGATCATAAAATTATTCAAATCAAATAATTATTAGATTACTGAGACAATTGAATAATTTCATATAGAAATCTATTACCCAGATTACATAAATGTCTACTGGTATTAAGTAACACATGGACAATTCTATTAGAAAAAGGAATATAATTATTAAAGTCTAAAATCAAAAATAATATTTTCAAAGTAGCTTTCTATTGTTGAATTTAATTTGGCTTTCTAAATTTATTGCTAAAAAATTAAAGCTGTTAATTGATAAATTAGCAAATAATTTGGTCAGTCCAGTTTCAATGAAATTTTAGATAGTCTAAACTATTTTAAAGGTGATCTACATAGTTCAAAGATTTTTAAGAAATTAGACTCTTATTTGAACTTTCAATTAATGGGACTCATATTTCTTTAATAAAATTAATATAAATGCCAATCAGACTAACTTATGATAAAGTGGAATGAAGATTTTTCAAATATTCAACAATACAAAAAAACCAAAATAGTTAAAAATAATCAGAAAAAATAAATAAAATAAGGCTGGGACAAAAAGTTTTTCGTTTTTTATTTTGCCTCAAAACTTTTCAACTAAATTCTTATTTAGCCAATTTGAAAATTATAAAAATTTTTCCTTTAAAAGTTTGTCTCTTTTTATAGAATTTTTATACATAATTTACGTATACAAAATGACATACTCATTGAGAAATACACATTATACGCTTGAAAAGCAATGAAATCATTATTGGCCTTTATGGTTTCCTTTTTTTTTTCTTAAACTTTTTTTCTTCTCTTTATCTCAAAATAATGATTCTGGGCTCTTTAACTCTTTTCAGTTGTAGAGGGACAACATTAATTTTAAATCAAATTTGTAATTTTAAATATTTGTCAACTACTCCGAACTTTTTGTTCAATATAGAGTTATAAAAGACTTAGGACTCAGACAGACATAGTTCTGTAACAGCTTGATTGCTTACTTCTATTCCATAGGTTTAAATTCAAGGTACAACTCTATAATCGCATACAATTAAGCATACAATTAATTTTTCAGGTTAGTATATGCAAAACTTAAAAATAACAAGGACAATGCGGTACGATCCCAAAATATCTGTCATTTAATTGTATATGAAAATTATAACTTTAGAAATTATTGAGGTGTTTTTAACAAATTCTTCTAGGACTCCTAGGAACCACTTAAATATTCTTTGGGTTTGCTACCGTCAATACAATTTTCTAGTAAGATTCTATTTTAAATTTCTATAAAGCCCATGTAGCAATGTGACACGAGAAAATTACATAAAGTAGTTATTCGACGTTTTCTAAAAATAAACAAGACCACCAAAATAATAACGATATAAAATAAATTACGCTTTTAAACATTTTGTTTTTTTCTCTTTCTTTTTCTGTTGTTTGGGTTATCTGTGATTTTTAAATAGAAATTTTTTAACTAATTTCTATAATTACTTTTTTGTCTGGATTCTTCCGAATAGGGAGAAAAAAAAATATTTTTTTGGGCATTTTTAAGGAATAATCCTTGATTCAAACCAATACAATGTATTTATTGCTATAAATAGAATTTCCCTGCCCCCTGTCCAACCCCTCTCTTTTAATTATTATAAAATTTCTTTGAATTTTTAAATATTTTGGTTTTTTTTTTTTTTAATTTCATTAAATTGTCATTTAAAGAGAAACAAAAATAAGGAAGAACTTTTTTGAGTAAATTATCTTGTATATTTCCACGAGTCTCGAAAATATTGTTTTCATTTTTTGTTTTTTTTCGTTTCTTTTGTTTTTCTTTTTATTTAATTAAAATTTTACGAATTAAGTCTATCGTATAAAATTTTAAATGAGAAAATTAATGAAATAAATAAATTTAAAAATGAAATTTTTCTTTTTCGTAATTTATGAATAAAAATTTAAATTTATTGAATTTATTAAAATAAAAATAAAAAAATTTAATTCTTTATGCAGTGATTAATATCCAAATATTTCAAAAATAGATAGAAAATTGTTGAGATTCTTCACTTTGGATTATTAAACCTTCCGAGCCCGTTACATGATCTTGTGTCGTACCATCTATTATAATTTTTAGATTTTGAAAAGCTACAATTTGTTAAAGATTTCCCGAAGTTTTTTGCATTCATAAGTTTTTTCTCCTATGAAATGTACTCAATGAATTAAAATATTTTATTAATATTTTTACAAACTGATAAAGTTTCAGATTTCTGCGTCTTGCCCCCAATTAAAAAGCGGATCTCTCAAAAAATTTTGAACTGAGAAGAAACTGTTTAAGTTTGTTTAGCATGAAGGTAGAAAACCACTGCATGTTTCTGATTTTATGAAATTTAAATAGATTTTATGGTATCGATAACGTAGCAGGATTTTCAAAAAATTTCAAATTTGAGATTTAAAGCCAAGGGCGCCCGTATATTAATTTTAAAAATTTTTTGTGTATAAAATTTTAATCTCAATTTCTTTTCGGAAATGTAGGCAATTAATAAACAAATGTGAAGATAAAGAGACAAAGTCAAATCAATAGGTACCATTCCGGAAGCATAGGTATGAGACGCTTATTTCTTGGAGCTATACAAGATTGAAGAGATTTAAATAGGAAAAAACTATCAAAGTTTGGAAATTAGAGACAACACTATTCTAATAAGATGCATTTTAAGAATTTGTCAACAATATGTGAAAAATATTCACATACTATTATCCTTTTTGTCCTTTATATTTTTCAATTATCTACAAAATAAAATATAAAAACAAATTATTGTCTTTGATTGAAAATACAAAAAAACTAATCGTAATCGATTCTAAATTTCAATAAGAAAAAACAAAAACAATTGATAATTTCCTGAATCCTTTATTTTTAATAATTTTCTCTTTTTCTTTTATTTTCGAATTTTTATTGAATTTATTTACTTGTTTCCATTCCTTCTTTTTTCCTTTCCTTATGGTTTGCGATTATTATATATATATTTTTTATTTTCAATTGCTACACAGGTTTTCATTAATATTGCAAAAATCATTGCGATCACAATGATTTTCATCCTTTCCAGATTTTATTTTTCTATAATATTTTTTATATTTTATATTTTTTAGAATTTTCCTATATAATTGTAAATGAATCCTGATTTTTTGGTTCTTTTATGTGCATTATTTATATTGCATATAGGACATTGACATATACATGTATGTGTGATTATATGTTGGTCTAAGACCAGAAAATATTGAAAACGTGACTTTAATACTAAAATTATTGGTAAAAAGTAAAAAAAACAATAAACAGTTTTCTTAGTTTTGGTTTCACATTCTTTGAGAACACATGCATGTTATAATGAAAGTGTGTAGGAAAATTTTGGAAAATCTTAGAAGAAGAAAACAAAGAATATGCAATATAAAAATTAGAAAAAAATATTACTATAGAAAAAAGAAAAAGAATACCAGAATAGAAAAATTCTAAGAACACTATAAACTCTCAATACACAGCTGGTGCTATAAAAAAATTATAAAGGAAAGGAAACAAATCGCAAAACAAAAAGAAAACCAAAATTTTTGAACAAAATAGTGCAAAATCCTTAAAAATATTATTTGCACGCTCAAATTCGGACCAACATTTTTATTTATTTTGCGTTTTTTAAAAAAAATATGCTATTAATTTTTTTGTGGTCTGAACGTTTTGCGTTCTCTATTACATTGAATGAATTTCTTGAAATTATTGACGAATTTACTTAAAAATATTTGTTTAAAAATTCGCTGTTAGCTCCGAATGGGTTAGAAATTAAAAACATTCACGTATTTCAATGAAATTTTCGGTTTTTGACCGAATCTTGTTAAAAGAGTCTATTTATGTTGGCTCAAGCTGTCGTTGAATAAAAGATTTGTGTCTTTGAAATAAATATTGGTATTGAACTACCCTATGAATTGAATATCTTTGTAATCTCATCAAATTATTAAAGAAAAAATCCTCTCATATTGTTACTTCTCATATTGTTCTTTACTGCGGAATGGCTAGATAAATGATTACGAAATATTGCATCATACTCCACTACTTCATTTTGAAGAATAATAATTCTTCGCTTTCTGGCCAGTTTTATCTACTGCTTTTTCCCAATCTATTAGACAATTATGCAACTACAATGTCATAATATATCGATGATGCCTCCCGAG